ACTGCGCCACCCAGGCGCCCCCAGACTCACGCTTCTTTCGACAGACGCCAGAGGCCATGGCTGGCGGCAGAGCCCGCCCTCCCTGCGCCTCCAGGAGGGACACTCACCCATGGCTTGGTGGGGGGCGGGAAGCCCTTGTGGAGGCCAATGTTCCTGTCCTCAAAGGAGGCAGGTATGTGGACGGCCAGTATGCGGAGGACACAACTCCCTCTGACCAGGGAGGGCTGCCCAGTGGAGAGCCCTGCCGCCCTCAAAAACAGCTCAGAGCAGCCCCGCTGTGATCCCAAAGCGGAGGGGTTGGGGGGTGGCAGGCAGATGGGGGGTGAATCTGCAGCACCGGCACAGGGTCCCGTGCTGGGCGTGGACTCCAGCCCCGTGGAGGGCACACCTCTGTGTGTGTGTGCCCCGTCGAGGCACGCCCGCACACCTCTGGGGCTCAGAGTTATAACTAACATGATGCTTTTGTCAAATAGTTGGACTTACCCTTTCCCCCTCCATTCTGCTAGCCGCAAAGGCTGCCATATGCCGAGAATGGTTCCTCACTCACTCCAGTGCTCTTGGTCCACTCTGCTTTCAAGAGGCTCTCCAGAAACCCTTAGGGACACTCCCAAGCCGTGCACTGGGCCAGCTACTAGCTCCATTAAGGCAGGGACTGTGGCTACTTGGCTCACCGTCCCTGATGGCTAACACGCCGCCTACCCGTGCGCTTGAAACTTGACTCTGTGGGTAGAAGGTCCCTTAGCCGGCTTCTTCTCTCCCCCTTCCACATTAACCCTCAAATTCCCCTTCTTCCAGCCCCACTATCACCTTGCCAGGTGCTTTTCTGCTACCAGTCTTGGGGGACCTGACTTTTCCTGCTTCCCCTTCTTTTGCAGGATACTTCCCTTACCCCACACAGGCAACAAAACACACAGGGCTGTAACACAGCCATCCAGTAAGAGAGTGAGAAAAATCTAAAGGTACAAAACGTACTAAAAATGGTATACCTCTGTGATATTTTGTAATCCTGTGATAGCAACAAGCAGCTCCTTCCAGGCTCTCCCTGGGTCATCCCACATGACCAGGCTCCTTCTCGAGCGCCATCCCTCTGGGCTACCCTCTCTCCTGGAGCATCCCTCTGCCACCTTCAGTCCAAGGGGGAGCTTGGGAGGCAATCCCTCTCACCCCCATTTCAGAGGGAACGTCTACTCCGGGCCCAGGCACACCACTCAGGTCCCTGGTCATGTGTTCTCCTTCTCGTTACTTCTTCCTTCATTTGTCCCTCGCCCCCACTGCTTTCCTCCCTTCCTCCAGGCCTTTGATCCTCCTCCCCCATCCAAGCTTTAGCTCTGACAGCTTCCTCTCCTCTGAGCCTCACATCACCCCACCTTTCTGGGGAGCCTCTGACTTGCGAAGGCAACTAACTTCCTATTGAACTTGGGAAGCTGTATTGCTCCCAAGTAATAGGGGTGCAGTGGAGATGGTGCCCCCAAATATCATGGTCAGAGCATTTGTCTTCCTTATATCACCCCCAGGGAAGGGGTGCTGTGGGCCACAAATTCCAAATCCCCTCAAGTTAATTGAACTTGGGGTTAAGCTGCTTCCCCCTGTTTCTTTTTCCACCTCTTCCCACAAGGCTGATTCCTATCTTTACTGGGCAAGGATTCTTCTTGTTATTTCAAGGGATCACGGACCCTTGGGGCACCTGGGTGGCTCAGTTGATTAAGCATCCTGTTCTTGATTTCAGCTCAGGTCATGATCTCACAGTTTGTGGGATTGAGCCCCGTGTCGGGCTCCATGCTAACAGTGCAGAGCCTGCTTGGGATTCTCTATCTCCCCCTTTCTCTTTGCCCTTCCCTTGCTTGTGTTCTCTTTCAAAATAAATAAATAAAATTAAAAAAACATCATCACAGATCTTTAAAAAAAGTTTTTTTAAAGCTTATTTGTTTTGAGAGAGACAGAGAGAACATGAGTGGAGAGGCTCAGAGAGAGAGAGAGAGGTAGAGAGAGAGAGAATCCCACACCGTCAGTACAGAGCCCAACTTGGAGCTCGAACCCAAGAACTGCAACGTCATGACCTGAGCCGAAATCATGAGTCAGATGCTCAACCAGCTGAGCCACCCAGGTGCTTGTCAAATTGTCACAGACTCTAAAACTCTTTGAAAAAAAAATTGAAACAGAGAAATGGGATTTTACCTTTATGCTTGAAAGGACAAGAGAGTCCCAAAGGTCTAACAAACAAACAAACAAACAAACAAACAAACAAACATCAATCTCACAAGTATTTATGCCTTTGAAAACCGAAGAGGTTAATTTAAATATTGTTTTCAGAGTAATAAGTTATCAACGGCCAACCAGAGTTGCAGACTTTCAAGATTTATAGATTACATTGTATTGGTCATATAGCAATCATCGCCGATAGCTGAATGTCTTAAAGATTCCTTTGCACAAATTACACTTCCAAAGATGATATAAATATAACATAGAATAGGATTGCATGTTTTCACACCAGTGGGACTGAATGTTCTTGATTTACCACCTTATCAGAATCAACTCTATGAGGCAGAATTGTGTCTGATTTTCTGCAACTCTAGGATAAGAGGGAATATAGTCTCCTCATCTTGCCGAGATTTATTTTGTTAGTATTTGTGGGGCTTGCTTTTTAAAACCAGGCACCAGAATTTCATTTTAGGGTATTTAGAGGGTAAAAAAGGCAGGCCTGAGAAGCTTAAAATGTACAAAAGAGAAAGTTGACAAATGGAATATGAAATACTTTCTGGTTTTCATCTACAATTGGAAGACAGGTCCATCTTACTCCAGGTCAAGTGAGAAGGTTTGGCCCAAGTGAGGGCTGTGGCCTGGAGAAGCAGGAGGAACAGAAGATCACTGGAAATATAGTAATTCCCAGAATGACTGTTAAAAAAAATCTCTAGAGTAGACACAACTTACTACCTGGCTCAGGAATGGCTAAAATATTGGAGATAGTTTTTGCCCAAATTGAGGCTTGATATCTCTGAGATTGAGAAGACCTCTTATCCACCAACACCCAGACTTGACTTGAAGGAGAAGCGGAAGGAAAGTTCTGTGGGGATGATGCCAGGTGTTCACTTTTTTTTTTTTCAATGTTTATTTATTTTTGGAACAGAGAGAGACAGAGCATGAACAGGCGAGGGGCAGAGAGAGAGGGAGACACAGAATCGGAAGCAGGCTCCAGGCTCCGAGCCGTCAGCCCAGAGCCCGATGCGGGGCTCGAACTCACGGACCGCGAGATCGTGACCTGGCTGAAGTCGGACGCTTAACCGACTGCGCCACCCAGGCGCCCCGCCAGGTGTTCACTTTTAAAAGCTTCTCTATCTCAAAGACTATTTCTATTTCTTTATGCTCCTGGTTCTCTGTTAATCACTCCCCGGACTGTGGTTGTCTCTCTCTGTGCCCTTTCTTGCCATACCGGGTGCTCTGGGGAGAAGAGCAATGGCCATGTGGAGGCCCCAGGATGCCACCTCACAGTGGAGAAAGGAAGACTCTGGTGGAAGTGAGTAGAATTCACCTCCGTGGACTCCTCCTCAGATCCTGGCCTGTGCTCTTCCTTCCACCTGGCCTTGAAGAGGAAATTTTGAGATACAGCCGCTGTCTGAGGTCCTGCCTTCTCATTGGATGTCAGAGTACGTAAGGCAGCTGACTGTGGCCTGCTTGGCCCATGGGCAGGAAGCATGATGGGCCTTGGACGTCCAGATTGGGTCACTTGGTGCCAATGGCAGCAGGAGGAGGCAAATGGAGCCACAGAAGAGGAAGCCTTCTACTGCCCTCTGCAGGGAAAAAGCTGGGACCTGCAGCAACCGCCCATGAATAAGAGGGACTATGGCATGAGCCCCAAGAGACCTCCTCTGGGAGGAAGGGGACCATGGCATGAGCCCCCAGGGATCTGCCCTGGAAGGAAGGGGTACCCAACCAGCCGCTGGATCACAAGGCTTACGGGCTGGGTACTGTGTTCTTTGTCTCTGACGTTCTTTTGGTCATGCTTCACTATACCAGTCCTTCCTCATACACCCATCTAACCACCTATCAGCCCTAACAATATTGGCCACTTTAGCACTTGTTTTCACCCGCCCTGATTCACTTTATTGCCTCTAAGAAATTCTTAGAGGCAAGACTGTTCCTACCTCCCCATGATGGTCATCAGCAACCTGAGTGAGTCTGATAGGCCTAATAAGATTGTTAGTGCTTTACCCACCAGGGTATTAACTCTCTCTCTCTCTTTGTAGCTTTGGTGGACCAACTTTATCCAATATTCCAGAACACTCTTTAGGGTCACCCATTGGGAGAGCATATGTCCCCGTTTGGTTGGAACAGTCCCAGTTTACTCTGGTTGTCCTGGTGTAATTATTAATAGCACCCTTCTTCTCTTTCAAGGGAGTCCTGGTTTGGACAATAAGCTATATCGTCATCCTCGTGCAAAGTGCTTTGCAGCTACTTCAGTATGCTGCATGAGACCTTCCTTCCTCTCTCCAGCCCTTGTCATTGTCATTGTGGTCACTTGTCACTGTGGTCACTACCCCAGGCTGAGCTCTGGGTACCTGAAGCACTTTCTGGCAGCTCCACGCCCACTGCATCGGTCAGCATGCTTTCATGAGCAACACGATACTCTCCTGGAATAACATGTGGGAAATGTGCTCAGTAACATATCTCTGCTCTCTCCTTCTCCACCAAAATCAGAGCCTTCCTTTTTTTTTTTTTTTTTGAATACTTAAAAAAATGTCATCTTAATATACTCAGGCCTGAAAGGTGTTTGTGGATGGGTTTGTCCCAAAGTTCTGAGGTCTGTCTACTAGCCCCTAAGAACTCATCATGAGAAAGAGGCTGGGAATATCCCCCAAAGGACTCTTCTATTTCCGCCCTGCCAAGGTGTCTGGAAGGAAGGGCGGGGGGTGGGGGGAGTCCTCAAAACAGAAAAAAAAAAGATCATGGAAGAGATTTTCAATGTGTTTGGAGTGAGGTCCAATGTGGTGAAGTAGTGTTGTGCTTTATTCTGCCTGTCGGGGGCAGTATAGGCTGCCCTGTCCAAAACAGTCATCGGAGAGTGGGGGTTTGAGGCTGAAGCCTTTTGCCCACAGATTACTCAGTGAAATAATTCATCTGGAATTTGGGGATTGTTGTAGAAGGAATTCTTCATATGGATGGGAGAATATCAGGCCTAAGAAGAACTTACTATTCAGGGGTGCCTGGGTGGCTCAGTCGGTTAAGCATCCAACTCTTGGTTTTGGCTCAGGTCATGATCTCATGATTCGTGAGTTCAAACCCCTCGTTGGGCTCTGAGCTGACAGCATGGAGACTGCTTGGGATTCTCTCTCTCTCCCTCCCTTTCTGTCCCTCCCCTGCTTCTGCTTAAAATAAACATTAAAAAAAAAAAAAAGAACTTACCATTCAGACCCTGAGACATTTACATGTAAACACGTTCATTTATTCAACCAATATTTCTTGAATGTCTGCTATGTGCCAGGTGTAAGTATGTGGAATGTATGGAAACTCTTACATTCCATTTGGTT